ACACGGCTCGCAGATTTAATATTCGGTGTCGATAAATCTAGAGAATGTAACATTCTGTCCGAAAGGGAAAGACTACGTCAGAATTTGGACACGGCTCGCAGATTTAATATACAAATTTAATATCTCGGTGTCGATACTGGCTCTAGATTTTAATATTCGGTGTCGATAAACTAGAGAATAACATTCTGTCCGAAAGGAAAGACTACGTCAGAATTTGGACACGGCTCGCAGATTGAATATTCGGTGTCGATAAATCTGGAGAATGTAACATTCTGTCCGAAAGGGAAAGACTACGTCAGAATTTGTCGAAAGGAAAACACGTCGGCTCGCAGATTTAATATTCGGTGTCGATAAATCTGGAGAATGTAACATTCTGTCCGAAAGGGAAAGACTACGTCAGAATTTGGACACGGCTCGCAGATTGAATATTCGGTGTCGATAAATCTAGACGAATGTAACGGAATTTAAATTCGGTGTCGATAAAAGGAAAGACTATATCAGAATTTGGACACGGCTCGCAGATTTTCAGTGTCGATAATATTCTGTCGAAAGGGAAAATACGTCAGAATTTGAACATGCTAAGATTGAATATTCGGTGTCGATAAATCTAGAGAATGTAACATTCTGAAAGAAACTACGTCAGAATTTGGACACGGCTCGCAGATTGAATATTCGGTGTCGATAAATCTGGAGAATGTAACATTCTGTCCGAAAGGAAAAGACTACGTCAGAATTTGGACACGGCTCGCAGATTTAATATTCGGTGTCGATAAATCTAGAGAATGTAACATTCTGTCCGAAAGGGAAAGAATACGTCAGAATTTGGACACGGCTCGCAGATTTAATATTCGGTGTCGATAAATCTAGAGAATGTAACATTCTGTCCGAAAGGGAAAGACTACGTCAGAATTTGGACACGGCTCGCATATTTAATATACGGTGTCGATAAATCTAGAGAATGTAACATTCTGTCCGAAAAGGAAAGACTACGTCAGAATTTGGACACGGCTCGCAGATTTAATATTCGGTGTCGATAAATCTGGAGAATGTAACATTCTGTCCGAAAGGGAAAGACTACGTCAGAATTTGGACACGGCTCGCAGATTTAATATTCGGTGTCGATAAATCTAGAGAATGAAACAATCTCCCCGAAAGGGAAAGACTACGTCAGAATTTGGACACGGCTCGCAGATTTAATATTCGGTGTCGATAAATCTAGAGAATGTAAACATTCTGGAAAGGAAAGACTCACGTCAGAATTTGGACATATTCGATTTAATATTCGGTGTCGATAAATCTGGAGAATGTAACATTCTTTCCGAAAAGGAAAGACTACGTCAGAATTTGAACACGGCTCGCAGATTGAATATTCGCTGTCGATAAATCTGGAGAATGTAACATTCTGTCCGAAATGGAAAGACTACGTCAGAATTTGGACACGGCTCGCAGATTTAATATCCGGTGTCGATAAATCTGGAGAATGTAACATTCTGTCCGAAAGGGAAAGACTACGTCAGAATTTGGACACGGCTCGCAGATTTAATATACGGTGTCGATAAATCTAAAGAATGTAACATTCTGTCCGAAAGGGAAAGACTACGTCAGAATTTGGACACGGCTCGCAGATTGAATATTCGGTGTCGATAAATCTAGAGAATGTAACATTCTGTCCGAAGGGAAAGACTACGTCAGAATTTGGACACGGCTCGCAGATTTAATATTCGGTGTCGATAAATTCTGTCCAGAGAATGAATTTGGAACATTCTGTCGATAAAAGGGAAAGACTACGTCAGAATTTGGACACGGCTCGCAGATTGAATATTCGGTGTCGATAAATCTAGAGAATGAAACATTCTCTCCGAAAGGGAAAGACCACGTCAGAATTTGGACACGGCTCGCAGATTTAATATTCGGTGTCGATAAATCTGGAGAATGTAACATTCTGTCCGAAAGGGAAAGACTACGTCAGAATTTGGACACGGCTCGCAGATTGAATATTCGGTGTCGATAAATCTAGAGAATGTAAACATTCTGTCCGAAAGGGAAAGACTACGTCAGAATTTGGACACGGCTCGCAGATTTAATATTCGGTGTCGATAAATCTAGAGAATGTAACATTCTGTCCGAAAGGAAAGACTACGTCAGAATTTGGACACGCTCTCGCAGATTGAATATTCGGTGTCGATAAATCTAGAGAATGTAACATTCTGTCCGAAAGGAAAGACTACGTCAGAATTTGGACACGGCTCGCAGATTTAATATTCGGTGTCGATAAATCTAGAGAATGAAACATTCTGTGTCCGACTAAGGAAAGATTGAATATTCGGTGTCGATAAATTGGAGAATGGACACGGCTACGTCAGATTTAATATTCGGTGTCGATAAATCTAGAGAATGTAACATTCTGTCCGAAAGGGAAAGACTACGTCAGAATTTGGACACGGCTCGCAGATTGAATATTCGGTGTCGATAAATCTCGGAGAATGTAACATTCTGTCCGAAAGGGGAAAGACAGATTTAATACGTCGATAAATCTAGAAAAATTTCCGAAAGGAAACTACGTCAGAATTTGGACACGGCTCGCAGATTTAATATTCGGTGTCGATAAATCTGGAGAATGTAACATTCTGTCCGAAAGGGAAAAGACTACGTCAGAATTTGGACACGGCTCGCAGATTGAATATTCGGTGTCGATAAATCTGGAGAATGTAACATTCTGTCCGATGGGGAAAACTACGTCAGAATTTGGACACAGCTCGCAGATTTAATATTCGGTGTCGATAAATCTAGAGAATGTAATATTCTGTCCGAAAGGGAAAGACTACGTCAGAATTTGGACACGGCCTGCATATTTAATATTCGGTGTCGATAAATCTAGAGAATGAAACAATCTCCCCGAAAGGGAAAGACCACGTCAGAATTTGGACACGGCTCGCAGATTTAATATACGGTGTCGATAAATCTAGAGAATGAAACCATCTCCCCGAAAGGGAAAGACCACGTCAGAATTTGGACACAGCTCGCAGATTTAAATTTCGGTGTCGATAAATCTAGAGAATGAAACAATCTCCCCGAAAGGGAAAGACCATGTCAAAATTTGTACACGGCTCGCAAATTTAACCTTCAGTGTCGATAAATCTCAGAATGTAACATTCTGTCCGAAAGGGAAAGACTGCGTCAGAATTTGGACACGGCTCGCAGATTGAATATTCGGTGTCGATAAATCTGGAGAATGTAACATTCTGTCCGAAAGGGAAAGACTACGTCAGAATTTGGACACGGCTCGCAGATTTAATATTCGGTGTCGATAAATCTAGAGAATGTAACATTCTGTCCGAAAGGGAAAGAATACGTCAGAATTTGGACACGGCTCGCAGATTTAATATTCGGTGTCGATAAATCTGGAGAATGTAACATTCTGTCCGAAAGGGAAAGACTACGTCAGAATTTGGACACGGCTCGCAGATTTAATATTCGGTGTCGATAAATCTAGAGAATGTAACATTCTGTCCGAAAGGGAAAGGCTACGTCAGAATTTGGACACGGCTCACATATTTAATATTCCGTGTCGATAAATCTAGAGAATGAAACAATCTCCCCGGAAGGGAAAGACTACGTCAGAATTTGAACACGGCTCGCAGATTTAAATTTCTTCGTCGGAATTTCGATTTCCTTATGTTTTCCATTTAAAGACGTGTAGAAATATCAACACATACTTTTTTCTGAAATTATTTCCACAAATCTGATCAATTATTTATTACTATTTTCATTGAGCATCATGATGTTCAGTTTTGCTAAATCAGATGCAGTGTCCATTGTTTCAGACTCCTCTTGAATACCAAACGACGTCATGTAAAGCTGCGTTGTTACCCCAGTGCTGTTGTCAGTAGTTTTTCGCCTGATATCCAAATAAACTACAGAGAAAATCGATGACAGAGATAAGGTGTACGTCCGCTCGAGCAGATGTAGCAAATTGTTGAACCTAAAGCGTTTTCGAACCTAATTGGTAACAGAACTTCTCTTCGTCGACGACGCAGTTCTTCTTGATTATTTAGAAGTGAACCTGTAGCATGTAACGGCTACTGAAGTCTTCGGTATGGAAACCAGTTTTTAAAAGAAGGGTCATTCTTCAGCAACCGACAAAGTAAGGAATATATTACTTTTACCACTTTTAGCTATTTCAAACTGGAAAAAAATCATAACATCTCTTAACACATTGGAGGCATAACATCACACATTGGAGGCATTTCATTACTAATAGGGTTTCATTCTCAGCTACGGCTGCAAGATTTGATGCTGTCTTACAGAAACCAAACTAGTAACATGGCGAGGATGGAGCTTCTCATCTAGATAACTAGTCTTTAGTCAACAGATAACCCTAGTCTCCAGTGAATAAAAAAATAATCTGTGGTGACTGACGATGAGGCCTATATAGACGTACAACGAACCCTTTGATAATTTTCCCCTTGCATGAAAAGATAAGGACAGTTCTCTTGCGAACTGTGAAACCTTCTCACCCAACTGATATGGAAAAGCATTCATCTTTGCATTAGACCTCGCTAATCACCAGAGTGCCTCCAACAAATAAATGTAGAAAACCCTCCCGAAGCGATTAAAAATTTTGTTTTTTACATATTCCATAACGCGGAGCCAAGAAGCGAATCCTAGCTATGCTGTCAGTCTGTGTATACATGTTACCATTTTGATAATACCCAGTTCTTGATAATAACTGTAACAGTCGAAAGTACTTGATTATAAAAAAAAACATGTACAATTTATTCATAACTTCTCATGACACCTCATTCGGAAATGGGAAATATATCATAAGAAAAGTTGAATGGAGATCTTGTCAGTGGAATTTAATAAAATTTATTTGGATGAATACATCTTAGATATGCATGCATGTATGTATGTATTAGATTGAGAGAAAGAGAAAGCTATGAGAGATACAGATGTATGAATTGAAAGTACCACATATACATAAAAAAGAGTTGTATAGATCAAAGAATATATGAGAAGTGCATTAAATAAGGAGAGAGGATCAAGAGAAATAAATAGGGAAATTCTGAGATATTATAGACATATAAGATAGATAGATAGATAGATAGATAGATAGATAGATAGATAGATAGATTAGTAGCTAGGTAGATAGATAGACTGGTAAGTATATATATATACTTAATATATATATATATAAATATAGATAGATAGGTAGGTAGGTAGGAACAAAGATAGATAGATAGATAGATAGATAGATAGACCCAATAGATAGATAGATGATAGATAGATGTTAATTAAGAATAGCGGACAGCAAAGACTTAAGACAAAGAAAGTGCCTCCAATAGATAGATAGATAGATAGATAGATAGATAGATAGATAGATAGATAGATAGACATATTCCAGCTAGGAGAGATAGCCAAGAAGCGATATATATATATATATATATATATAAATATAAATATACATGATGGTGGGTGATAGGAACAAAGATAGATAGATTGATAGATAGAAGATAGATAGATAGATATCAAAAAAGACTGGGATAGATAGAAAAAAAGATAGATAGATAATTTAGATAGATAGATACTTAGTGGATTAGTAGATAGATAGATTGGAAATGGGAAATATATCATAATAAAAATTAAATGGAGATAGATTGGTAGGTGGTAGGAACAAGATAGATAGATTAGATAGAATAGATAGATAGATAGATGATGTATGTATAGATGATAGATGTTAATTAAGAAGAGCGGAGAGAAAGACTTAAGAGAGAAACAGATGTAGATAGATAATTGATAGATAGATAGATAGATAGATAGATAGATAAAAAAGTAGTTAGATAGATAGAAAGTATATATATATATACTTAATATAAATAAATATAAATATAGATAGAAATAAATAGGGAAACAAAGATAGATAGACAGATAAGATAGATAGATAGATAGATAGATAGATAGATAGATAAAATGACAGGTGCAGAGGAGGTCTGATCAGAAAGTATCTGGTGTAAAGGGACAGCTGCTATAAAAAAGAAAACTACAGCACATACCAATTCAGCATTTAATCTCCTTCGAAGTAATCCCGCTTCTAAAGACACCCACTTTATTCAGTGTCGTTTTCAGTGATAGAAGCATTCTTGGAACTTTTGGGGGGACAGCGAGAAGCTGCTTCAACGCATTCTCTTAGATTGATGGAAGCGAATATGATCAAAAAGGTAATATCTAAAGGATGGGCAAATTTACAAAAGACACACACACACACACACACACACACACACACACACACACACATATATATATATATATATATATATATATATATATATATATATATATATATATATATGTATGTATGTATGTATGCGTATATTTCGGCGGCATATTTTCATTAAGATAGGTTTCGGTAAATGATTTAAATTATTTTTTAATAAAATACCCTAGTAAAAAAATGAAACTTACTATATACTACACTAAATCAATTATATCTAATAAAATCATTCGTAATGACTCTTCCCCGGCCACTTGCATGTTGCAAAAAACCAACATCGTTTATAAATTTAGATGTCCTCTGGGAGATTGCATCTCCAACGATAAAAATAAAATTTATGTTGGACACACGACAGCAACGCGTTCAAGTCTCCACCTGAATAACACGTCCAATATTTCTAAACATTTACAACAACGTACCTCTCCACAATCGCAATTCAGAAAAATCCTCATCGAAAATTAACTCCATACTTTTCTACGAAAAGAATAAACACAAACTAAATATTCTCGAAGCTATTTATATAAAAAATTAAAACCAAACCTCAATAAAATTAATTACGAATACTCCACAAACATTAATTAATAATAATTTAAATGCTTGTCATTAATAGTTTTTCCTCCATCTAGCAACTACTCAAGTCCGGAATTTTTTCACGGCATACCTAGTTACCTCCCCTTAACCGGTGTCTGTCACCCAAGCCATGGCACAGCGTTCCTGTATCGGTTAAAGACACATGAGGCTATATGACGGTTCCGTATAACATACAGGTTCAACTCCTGTCAGAGGACGAATATTTTCTATGAATGTTAGCTCAATGTTACACAAAGTTTGTTTTTTCATTCATAAAATAATTATTACATATATTTTTATAGAACTAATACAAATATAAATTTTATCACTTAATTGATTGCTGTTAAAGTTTTGCCTGGTCATTGTCTCGGCCACGAATCTGAGTAGCGTCGTGCAATAAGGAACAAAGTTATATATATATATATATATATATATATATATATATATATATATATATATATAGGTTTCATTTAAATACGCATGGAGACCTACCAAACTCTATCCGTAACATACTCCTTGATAATACAAATATAATAGCATCATGTGTTACGCTTTTTTGGGTATATATTGTATGTAACAAGCGAGCGAGTCAAAATGACTTATTTCCCTTTATAGTCTACCAATAGAAGATTAACCAATCAGGAGCCGCAGAACACTGTATCCGTCGTGTATAAAGGCGGCCATCTTTGTTTTCCCTACTGGAAGGACCAGAGCCAACTTGTCAGGCGAATACGACAGAAGGAAGAACTGCACTCTGCTGTGATATCCACTGCGAACCTGAACTACGCTTTCCTACTGTACTCGAAGACGACCGTCATGAAAATGTCTAACATCATGCACATGTACAACATGGCAGCAATATTAATAAAAATAAGAAAAAGCAAACATTCAATAATATCAACTATGACCACGGCCATGTGCTGAACGTGTATGGAAAATAAAACATACCTATAACTCAAACACATAAAACAATCCATATATTTAGTTAAAAATAAAATAAAATTCAGCCTTGATAATCGCTATAAGTTTAACCGGAAACGCTTGGATATATTAAACATTCAGACAATTTTTATATCATATGTCCTGATATGAAAAAGATATATAACACATGAAAACTATATAAACAAACTTAACTACGCCACAATATCAGTCGTTTTTAACGAAACTGGCACACACTGGCACACACACACACACACACACACGCACACACACACATATGTATGTATGTGTGTGTGTTTGTGCACGTGCGTGCGTGTGAGCTGTCTGTTTTATGCAAAACGCAATCTTCAGGCACATGGCCTGACAATTGTATTTAGCATGGAACACATTGTTGTTTCCAGGTCTTGACTTCAATTTCCATTTTTACAGATAAATAGATAGAGAGACAGACAAGTTCATCTATCATCCGGTTCATACCCTTCTTTTTTTTTAACAGGAATAGAGGTTTATCCCTTGTTTAGGATTGGATTTCCGGTTCCTTTTAATGTCTACTTGCACATTATACTTCTAACGTCTCCGTGAAATGTTATTCAATAATTAAATCTTGACCTATTCAAGTCTAGTTAGCTTTCCCGTATAACACAATACAGCAGCGTGAATCTCTACCTTGAATGGCTCTTGGGCCGTGTATTAGGTCAACAATAATAATAATAATAACTAAATAAACACACACACACACACACACACACACACACACACACACACATATATATATATATATATATATATATATATATATATATATATATATTCGGATTACTAACAAAAAAACAGAGAATGTCTCATATCGAGAATATTTAACATTGAAAAACATAAGTAAAAAATTAATTATTTTTAATGATATGTGGAAATCTCCGCTTTTACCTGAAGACGGTCACGAGACCAGAAAAGCGCGTAGTAAAATTATGGAAAATAAAGTATAATATTTAAAAAAAAAAAAAATCTACATTACAACCCAAAACGTTTGCGGCACCTCTCTTCTCTTCTTTTTAATATACATACTTTTCTCTTGTTGGAACCACTACAACCCTTTCTTTTTTTATATATATATATATATATATATATATATATATATATATATATATATATATATATATATATATATGCGAATGTCAGTGTGTCACTGTGTCATTTTTTTTTCAACTTTGCTCTTAGAGGCGGTAGTCAAACATAAAATATCATTTTGGAATCAAGACGACTACGTGAACAAATTAAATATATGCCGAACCGGATCCGGAACCACATTCCTGAAATTTTGCATTCCCAAGTTTCCATTTCTGCGATTATTTCAGATTCTGCCTTCTTGGAATCATGGCATCTATTGATAAAAACAATTAAATCGACACAATTCTGTAACTTTCAATAGATTATGTCACCTGAAATTTTGAATTCCAAAATTTCCATTACTACGATTGTTTTCGGTGATTTTATTTATGTAATTTTTGTGACGAATTTTTTTGTACAATAACAGTTTTTATAACTTGGGAATAATTTGGGAATAATTGAAATTAATGGTGAAATCCAGCGAAAGTCACCCATGGAATTAAAATAATTGTTTGTACGGAAAGTAAGGACCTACGTACATCAAATTGTCTTTAAATTAACTGGCGGCAGAAGAATTCCCATTGAACTTTTAAAAGGAAAGTTTAAATATTAATGCAATATTTAAATGCAGCGATCAATTTGGACTTCTGTAGTTTATTGTTGTCTATCGCATACGACAGCAGTATGGCTGGCAAAAATAAATCTCAAGCAACAGAGGACCAGATTGCAATTAAAAGAGCCACTGGTGCAGCAAGGACAAAGAAAGACTCTTGCAAATGAATCCAAGATCAAACGGTAGCCAGGGTAGCTTTTAATGCTGAGAATATGCAAAGACTTAGGGATAAGCTGAAGGCTCAATCAAGAGCCCTCCGATAGGGTAGCTTTTAAATAAGTATATATATATATATATATATATATATATATATAATAGCTGAATATATATATTCATTTAGATATTTATCAGCTGAAAAGAAAAAAAATGATTAGATCGCGTGAGAAATTGTATAAAAATAAATCAAAGCACCTTGTCTGTCGTATTCAATGAAATCTACCTGAAAGAAGGATTGCTGCCTAAATACACAACTATATATATATATATATATATATATACTCGATTCTCACGTCGAATTCGACGTATGAGAGTCAAGCAGATCAGTTCCTAGGAAACCGACAGCCCGACAACAGCACATGAGATTTGATTATAGTGGTGAAGGTTTCGTGCACAACCATCCACACTTTTTGAAGGGCCGAATACAGAGACCTGGTGCACTACGTGCCACAAGGTCCCCAAACGACCTTCCGCAGGTCTTGAATTCAGAGTTGTCCTTCTCCTAGACCAGTTGCCATCCAAGGCTATAGAACCCAGTCTGTCCTAACTATTTATCCATAGCTGGAGGGAGAAGAAGAGGATTCATGCCTTTCCCACGGGGTATTAGCACGTAAGCGAATGTAATGGAATCGACTGGAATTCGAACTCGGCTCTCCGATTCCTCACTCCAAGCCGCTATCCATTACGTGCCTCCTCCTCTCTCTCTCTCTCTCTCTCTCTCTCTCTCTCTATCTATCTATCTATCTATCTATAAAGAAATAAGTCAGATGATAAAACATTACAGAACAATAATTTATCTTTCCGTATCATACCATTTACTGTGAACGCCTTCCCATAGTGCAATATTAATCATAGAGATCGAATAGCGAAATTTTCTGTGAAACGGAACAGATTGATGAATTAATCAATCAAGTGTCTCAGCGGACATTTCACGAATGTCCCAAAACCACTCTAGCAAGAAACAGAGAGCCACGTCTTCTATTAATTACTTCTCTTTCCCTAAGGATGCCACCTTACGCCGTAAATTTCTAGTTTCCAGATATGTGGGAAGTGTCCGGCGAGACGCGGGAAACTCCGGGTAAATAGACAGACTAACAGATTGATCAGCCCATTCAAATTCCGTGAATGTTGAGCGTCATTTCGTTGCTTGTAGTCGCCTAGACCGGTGTTTCCCTATCTGTGGCCACATGGCACGAATGAACCATGGCAAATTTCAGGTGCGCCACAGAAATTTTATAATTTTTTCTGGGCCACAGAATATATATATATAAGTAGACTTTGAAGTCAACACCCAGAGGCGACAGCCGGTTTCATGTTAAACGCAATCGTGATGCCATGTACTTAGCATGAAACAGACTGCAGTGCTGACTTCAATGTCCTCTTTTATATTTATATACTCTTTATCGCTGATATTGAGCACTTTCACCCATGAATATAGCATACCTTAAAACTATATTTTACCATATTGACGCAACTATTTGGGAGCTGCCGATACTTGTGCTAGCACGAATTCACAAGTCATCGTGACCGAGAGTTTTGCTTAAAATTACTGATCACGTCAGATTATGATCTCCCTCCCAGAAACTCTAACTAGGGTCCGCTCAGCATAGTCGCAGTATAAACCCCAGGTGGGCTCTGTGGGTGTTGAAGGAATACAAATGTGCCTGAGCAGGCGTCAGCAACAGGGATTGGCTAGTCGGTCAAGTAGACATTCATACACGGATAAGACTGGTCACCCACTATATATATATATATATATATATATATATATATATATGTGTGTGTTTGTGTGTGTGTTTGTGTGTGTGTGTGTGTATGTATATTTGGGCAGCAACCTTTTTTTCAAACAACTCTCATTAAATACGGTAGACAGACAACAAGGAAGTTTTAATTTTTGTTTTTAAGTCTTTCCAGTATCTTTACGTTTTTTCCTTTTGTATGAATAAGAAAGTACAAATTTTTTTACATAATTTTCATTGTCCCAAGTGCTTTCCGTCACTTTCGGCATTTTCAATGGCGTTTTATCTCTGGTGTTAATATTTTTCCGTCATGTTTTGACTGTTACGTTGTAATTTATTTATGTGTTGTTTTGAATAGGAGCGTTCATTCCGACCCATCACGAATTCGTCTGTGCATCTTTCTATTAAAAAAAACAAAACACTTTTAACTCCATTTTCACGGTTAAAGAATATGAGGTTGGTAGTAGGAGAGAAACCTACTTCTTATACGCTTTTCAGATGACGGGAATCTTTTGTTAGTAGTAGGGAGCAGCGATTAACGAGAGTGATTTAGAATGTGGCGAAAACATGTTAATCACTGAATTTTAATTTGAAATTCTAATAACGAGATATTTCTCATAATGTGATTTATATAGAATATTAGAGTTTTCGAACAAAATTTCTCTTTAGTGTTCTTGTGAATTGCGCTTTGATAGATGTTTTTTTATATCACTGTAGTTTGATAAGTGTCACGTGAGGTGTCTACCCAAGGAGATAGTTATACGTCCGATTTACGTAATTGATTTGTGTCAATAAAAACAGTTTTGTACTGGGTAGTGAAATTGCTACACTATATTTGTCATCGCTAGGTTAGATTTCATGGGGTTATTTTGATTAGTGACAACAAGGTTTGAAGTCTTCCATTTTCTGTAATATAACATTTTACTTTTTTCGGAAATTGCGGAAGAAATATGTATTTTAAGGATTCTTCGTATGGCGAATCCTGGTGATACATATATATATATATATATATATGAAGAAATATAGTCTTAAGATGTGCTATAATTATGGGATAAAGTGCTCAATATCAGAGATAGAACATTTTTATGTTTACACATTCTTTTTTATATTATTATTAAATTATAATAATTATTTTAAGACATAAAATGTTTTAAAATAATTGTCGGATTTTGTCCCATATTATATATATATATATATATATATATATATATATATATATATATATATATATATATATATATAAATGCAAATGTCACTGTGTCACACTTTGTCAACTTTACTTCTAGAGACTGTGGTCCAACGTATTTTTGGAATCAAGCCGACTCCATTAAAAACATTCCGGGCTGGATACGTAGCCGTAATCCTGAAATGTTGCATTCACAAGTTTTTATGACTGCGATTGTTTTTGCATTCCGCCATGTTGGCTTCTACCGATAAAAACAATGAAAGGGACTCAACTCTCCAAATTTCAATAACTCATCTTCAACTGAAAATATTATTATTCTCAAATTAGTGTTTTAATATAAAATTGTCCGTGCTTTCAATTTTATTTCTAGAGACCGAAGCCCAGCATTTTGGAATCACACCGACTCCGTGAGTAAATTAAAAACATTTTGAATCCCGATTCGCAATCCTGAAATTTTGGATTCCCAAGTTTTCATGACTGTTTTCGGCGATTTTTTTTTACATGATTTTTTGTGGCAAATTTTTTATACGATATGAATTTTTATAAGTTGGAAATAAATTCAGTATTAATCAAAATTAATTGGGAAATCCAGAGAAAGTCACCCATGAAATAAAAAAAAAATTGTTTGAACGGAAAGTAAAGATCTACTTACATCAAATTGTCTTTAAATTAAGTGACGACAGAAGAATTAACACTTATATCTTAAAAGGTATGCTTAAATATTAATTAAATATTAAAGTAATTAAATATTAATATATAGCTATCAGTTTTGAGTTCTTCTCTAGTTTATTGCTGCCTATCGCATCTATTCCTCCTTACCTATTGTGATGAACGCGCAATCAAGAGACCTCCGCAGGAGCTAGGTTAAATGCCGCCCGCATGCTAGTATATATATATATATATATAACTCAATGTCCAGGACAGAGTAAGGATATAATAAACAGAGAGAATTTTAGGAGAGGTGGGTGGAAGGGGTTTAAGTATTTTTCTCTTATTTAAACCCCTTCCACCCACCCTCCTAAAATTCTCTCTCTGTTAAGGTTTAATCTCCTCCTCCTCATACTGACACTCTCTCTAAATTCTGTTTTTATTTCCGGAGTTGTTTTTTCTGTTTTCTTTTTGAATTTGTAGGTCTGATGAATTGGATCGTATTTACGATTCCAATGGAATAAATTATGACCATCTGTGTGTGTACGTATATATATATATATATATATATATATATATATATATATATATATATAAATGAAACTGATATTAATTAGAAGCTTTTATACATGAAGTCATTTACAAGTATATTTAAATTATTATGTAAACAAGGATTAAATTGATAGTAAAAGAGATAAATAGGGGGAAGGGGTGGGAGTAAAAAGAAAGGCGAGCATCCAATACGAGTCTTCGTGGCTGAAAAAGAATATATTTCAATACAAATATAAACAGGATAAACATCAAAACAAATCACACTGAATTATATCCATTTTTTTAAAACAAACCGGACACTGGTCTGGTGTTGTATTTTTCACCCAAACACATTTCAAGGCTCCAGTCCTACAATAGAACGTGCTAGCCATATTTTCATGGCGGACGCCGTAACCTTGTTTATTGTTGAGATAGAAACCATAAAAACTGCAGCACAGATGAGAAGACGCCCAACGCGACACAAACGGGAGAAATGGCGCCAAAGGCAAGATCGAGCAAAATGCGAGCATTTTTCTTGTGTTCGCAGTGTCGATGATTAACATAACTCTAGTTCAGATTGGATAAATAAAAGAAAAAGTGAGAAGTTATTTCAATTACTTTCTCGCTTTTGTCAATGTGAACAGAACTGCGAAAAAATAATAGGCTGGCTTTGTAGCTCCACATGTAAGCGTGTGCAAAATGTCGACATGACGACATTGTACTCAATGAATGTTGCGACAATCAGGAAAAAAATGGAACTCTTTATCCGGCATTAACGACTCCGAATACAACTATATCGTCAACAGGTTTAGGAAGGGAAGAAAAGGTAAAACCTTAAGAGAAGACATTGTAACAAATGTAGAACAGAAAGGAAAACAAGTGAAAAAATTCACAGCTAGATTAACAAAAAGAAAGTATAAATAAATTGAAAAAAAATCTTACAACCCTTGGCTTATAAGGCGAAGGACAAAAATTGTTCGTTGATGTGAAAGCACCTCAGAAGTAGACCATTGCTTTCGCTTAAAGAGATCTTGTTTCAATGACTAAATCTCGTCAAGCCTACGTTTTGCATGCTTTTCAGATGACGGAATTCTTTTGTTAGAGAGAATGGTAGGAGGGAGCAGCGATTAGGTGACTAAAACATGTTACTAAATTTTTATTTGAAACTTTAATTATACAATGTTCGGTAAATGTGATTTATATAGGAGCGTTGGCGTAAGTGCATTGAAAAATGTATTTGTGTGTGGGAGAAATGCTCTTTTCAACTTTTAGCTGAGAAGGTGTTGATATACTTTTGTATGTATCGATTTCCAGAACTGGATATACAAGTGAATATATATATATATATATATATATATATATATATATATATATATATATATAGAGAGAGAGAGAGAGAGAGAGAGACAAACAAAGAAGGAGAAAATGTCGAAAATGGTTTCCCTATGCGTTTCGTCCTTTAGGACTTCATCAGACTTAATTTACTCCATATGTGTCAATTTCCAGAACTGAATATACACGTAAATATATATATATATATAATATATATATATATATATATATATATATATATATATATATATATATATATCCAAGTATATAATTGGTATATACGGAATGAATTCCAATAACCAACAATTACTATTCTTAAAAGAGTG